GGAAGGGCAGGAACCACTGGCCTAACCCACAGGCAGGTCCAGGGCTCCTCCTTCAGTTCAGGACTTTTGCTGGCTTCCAATGCTGCTGAGTGCAAGGCCTTAGGCAGGATTCTCCTGGACACATCCTCGGGATGCATCTGCCTGCCTCAGGAGATGGGAGGCTCCCCGTGCCAGCAAGGACAAACCTAATATTTACAGCCATCAATGCTTTTAATATGTTTTACCCCAAAGTAGCAGAAGCAGCTCCCATGCCATCCCGGGCCCCACCTGATTTGTCCCACAGAAGGCAGAAGAGTCAGGGGGTCTTTGTTTCACGCCTGGGTTGCCCACTTGGAGCCCTTAGCCTTTCTGACCCCTCCACTCTTGTGCCCATGGGCACAGCATTAGGAAACCAGGTTCTGGATATGGGCAAGGCAGGCATGGCAATCTCCAGTGTAGGGAGACCTCGGCTTGGCAGGGGAAGTGTGACTTATAGAGCCAGGACCTGCCCCCTCGGCAGGAAAAGGCCCACAGACAGAACTTGCTTTTGGAAAGGAAGAGGAGGGGGATCTGTCTGTGATCATTCAGCCCCGAAATGATGCTCATGATGTTGGCTTTCCAGGCCATTAATTCAAGGACTCTGTCCCCCCACCCCCACATTGCTGCCTGCTCTGGGAGATAAGCCTAGTCCTAATTAACCCTGTTTATTCCCCCAAAGTGGTCTCCATTTCCATTAGCCAGGCATTTAACCCTTTGGGTACTGAAGACATCAAGAATACAGGGATGAACTGGTGCTGGAAGGGGGGTGTGCATTTCACCTGGCCCAGGCGGCTTCAGCATCCAGTTCTTGCTTCATGGGGTGTGGCAAAGGTTCTGGGAGCCCCACATCCACTCCCTCTTGAGCAACCCAAGTCCCCCAAGACAGTGGGTACTGTGTGACACTAGGAGACGTGCCCCCTGCCTCCGCTTCCAGGACAGACAGCTCCTGTCTCCCCTCATCCCCTTCCAGCCCCCACTTCCTTTCTCACAGATCTGGGTTCTGGCTTTGCCAAAAGGAAGGCTGTGTCCCTCTGCCTCCTTTGTGTTCTGCTGGCTGGTGCCTCTAGCTGGCATGTCCTGCTTTGTCTCCCTGCTGCCCTCTTCTAGCATGTTCCTTTTATGTCTTCTCCCTTTGTTCTCTCCTCTTTTCCTCTTCAGTGATCATATAGGGGTATCCTGTGTTTGTGGGTAACAGACCCTGGTCTCGGTGTGAGTCAGGGTGTGTGTGCACAAGTGAGTGAGTGTGACTCTCCATATGAATGCCTCCCTATACTGCTGTTTCTCACCCTGTATTTGGGGTGACTCTGCACAAGAGGATGGATCCATGGGTGTCTGTCCCCCCCGGTTTCTTTGTGTGTAGGCGGTGTTGGTACAAATCTCACATGTGCGCTGGCCTCTCCTTGACCCATGCGTGTGGCTCTGTCAATCTGTGTAAATCTGCTCGTGCACTGAATCTGTGTGTTGGTCCTCATGTCTTTGTGCATCTGTCACTTGGCTTGTCACTCTCTGTGTGTATGTGTGTGTGTTGTGTTTCAACTCAGGAGGCCAACCTGCTGCAAATTCCTCTCAAGAGGGTGCCCTTAGAGGGGTTATTAGGAGAATTTGGAGGTTGATGGCTTCATTAGAGCACAGCCTAGCTCATTATCAGCTACGTAGGTTGTCCTGTTTGCCTCACAGACTAGAAGGGGTGAAGACAGAAGAGTGTACTCCCAACTCACTCTGCCTCTCAGACCCAAGCACAGGCTTTTTATTATACACTCACCTTTCCCCAAACAATGAGAAATGGCCATTGGGTACAGCATCAGCAGCATTGAGGGCCTCCTGGTGGTGCAGGGATTAAGTCTCCACACTATCAAGCTATCGCATAAGTGCATAAGTTTGATCCCCAGCGAGGGAGATAACCCACATGGTATAGCAGACTTCTCCTGTCTCTCACCCGCTGCTCCCCTCAGCAATGTATTTAGTAGATCTGCCTGTTCTGCTCCCCACTCTGTCTCTGGTAATCCTTTCACCCCCCCACCCCACCCCCCACACCTCTGGCCTACAATCCAGTTTTTGTATGTATAAATAAATAAAATAACTCTTTTTTAAAAGAGATTTCATTGAATTCCCACAAGAACTGTATGAGACTGTTATTGCCATGATTTTCACATTTTGTGATGAAATGGAAGCTTAGGGAAGTTAAGCAAGTATCAAGAGTCACACAGCTAGCACATGACAAAGCAGGAATTCTCCAAAATGGTATAGGTTGCTGGGGAGCTTGCCACACCAGCTTTCAGTCTAGAGGCAGGTATTTGTTGCAAACAGCAGGAAAGGAAGGAGAAAGAGGCACTCCTCCCGCAACTGCTGGCATCTACTTAGAGCCAGAAGCACTGGGGTCTGGTTTTGAGTTTCATCTCTTTTGATGTGAGGTGGCCAAATACCAAACACCAACAAAGAAGAGGGGATGGAAGGACAAGAGGAGGTCATGGATTCCAGGGTTCTAGCCTGGCTCCACCCAGGGTTCTGCATGACCTTGAGCAGGACACCTCACAGCAGTGCCTGGTCTTGCTTATCTGGACACTGAGGATGGAAGTGAGGCTCTGTGGGGGTGCTCTAAGCATTATAGAAAAGATGAGATCTCTCCCAGACCCAAAATTGGGGTGTAGAGCATAGATCAAGACCATGGATCATCTCAGGTGATTCCCAAAACAGTCAGAAGAGACTCACATGCACATGAGATTTGCTGAGTGAATGAATGACCCCACTGCTTGACCCCCACAGCCCACCTTGGGTCCTACAGCAGTGAACATCATAAGAGAAAAGGGAAGAGAGCAGAAGCATTTTGGACCCTAGAAAAATCTGCACGTGAATTGACAATGACCAACGGAGACATATATGTGATGGAGTCACTTGTCAAAGAAGACACCAATGGTCATTTTCAGGTCTGGTGTGCATGGAGGTAGAGAGGGGGCTGAGGGACCCTAGTCTCTTCCTAGATATCTTTGGTGGGCCCAAAGAATTTTACCAGGAACAGAAAGGGAAGGGAGGGGGATTTGGAGGAGGAGATCTTTGTTTATAGGAATCACAGAGAAAGGATCCCTCGCCCAGCATCTGGGGATTGGGTGAGCGAAGGTCTCCTATAGGGCAAATTTCTGGGATGGGAAATCAGTCTTATTTCTGAGCCTTTTGGGGGAGAGGATCTCTGTGTTTAGGAAGGAAGGATCTCTATCCTTTGTTCTGAGTCTTTTGACTCAGATGGTCTCTGTTTGGGGAAGGGCTCTATAGGATTTCCCCCCCCCCCCTTCATAGTGGATGGGAGGGCATATCTGTCTTGGTTTTCTGCCAGGAGAATTTAAGGGGTTACCTGGGGAGGGCTTGGGAGCATCTCTGTCCGTTGTAGGGGAGGTTCCCCATTTGGAGAGCAGCTTCCAAGAGACTGCGAGTTGTTGGGGAGGACAATTTAAGGGGGTGAAAGCAGTCTTGTCTTGCCAGCTCCAATTTGCTTATCAAAGCCCCCAGGCCGCCCTACTGGTGTGATGAGGTGAGCTAATCTCGAAATACAGCAGAAGACTGGGGTTCTCAGAAAGGCAGGAGCTCTGGAAGGGGGAGCCTGGGCACCCTTTTCCAGTCCTGGACTTCAGTTTCTCTCCTACCACTTCACCCCTGCCCCAAAGACAGCTGCTCCTCCTCCTCCACCTATGCTGGGTCCTTAGAAGGATCCAGGCAGCACCCCAGCTGGGGAAATATGTAAAGACCCACACAGAGCAGCCGCCCCGCAGGAGAACAGAACTGTAATGGGACTCACAGGCAAAACGCAGGCGACGCCTTTGCACACAATTCAGCCCATAAGTTCCGAGCGCTCCTGGGTTCAATGCGCACAATCCCAGCCATTTACAGAACAATCCCGGCTATCAAATCCCATCTTCGAAGTCCACCCAGATCCAGCCCGTAGCAATATGTGCTACAGAATCAGTCTTTGTCTCTGGGCCTCCCTCGCGCGCGCACACGCACGCTCTGCGCTCTGCAGAAACTAGGTTTTCGCCGCGGTGAGAGCAGGGCTGGAGCGCACCGAGCGCCTCCGCGCCCTGGGCCTGCTGCGCACCCTTCTCTCCTCTGTGCTCCACACCCGCTGAGCCCCACTTCGGCCGCGGGCATTCGCAGACTGGCCGCGAGGCCGTCCGGAGTCCCCGTCACCAAGTCCTACTCCTTCCAGACCCCCAAACCAAAAGAATTTCGAAAAGCCAACCTTTCGCCTCCATTCTCGCACAGATTTGGAGAGCGGTTGGGGCGAGCGACCCACAGGATCACTTCCTTCGTGGCGATCTTGGACGGCTGGAGACAGCCCCATCGACAGAGGCGGCCCTGGGCTGAGCGTCCTGGAGAGCCGGTCCGGTCCACGCGGACACTTCTGCCTTCAGGAGAGGCTTGCGATCAGGTTTAAGCGCAAACGATGGGTCCCAAGGAGACGGATCGACGCCCAGACGGCCCGCGCCGGCAGGCCTGTAACTGCGCGCCTTTCAGGGCGCCTGCACCAGTCCTCGGGCAGAGGATCCGGTGTAGAAAGGCTCCCGAACTCCGGAGGGGGTAGTCGGGAACCGGGGACCGCGAGAATCTGCACGCTCTGCCCCCCTCCCTCCTTGCAGCTGTGAGGTGGGAAGGGCCAAGATCCGAGCTTAGCACCTCCCCGAGAAATGCAGCACTGCAGCCCCCACCCTGCCCTCCGAACCCCTCCTTCGCGCGCTGGCTCCCGCCGCCTTCCCTCGGGCGCCCTTCTGCTCCCACCTCAATTCTCCTGAGTCTCCTTCGTACCCCTTCTCCTAGCCCCCCCATCACGCCCCCTGCCTCGGGTGTTTTCCGTCCCCCAGCCGCCCCCCCCAACCCCGCCTGATTCCGAGGGGCGGGAGCGCACGGGGCTGCGCGCGGGCGGGGGCGCCGGCTTCGCGTAGCAGCTCTGACGCCGCCGCCCTCCGCAGCCAGCCCGCGCCCCGCGGCAGCTCCGCAGTGCACTCGCCCGCCGCGCTCCGCCAGCCCCACTGGCCGCCTGCCCGCCGGGTGGGCCCCGAGCGAGCCGCTGACGCCCCCCGAGAGGGTCATGAGCTTGAGCGCCCCGGGGCGCCGCGCAGAAAGCGAGCGAAGATAGCGACCTCGCGCCCCCCCAGACCCAGCCGCCTGGCCGCGCGTCTCCCGCGTCCCCAGACCCTTCTGTCCTTTCCTCGGACCCCGCCGCCGCCATGGCCACCCTGCTCCGCAGCAAGCTGTCCAATGTGGCCACGTCCGTGTCCAACAAGTCCCAGGCCAAGGTGAGCGGCATGTTCGCCAGGATGGGTTTCCAGGCGGCCACGGATGAGGAGGCGGTGGGCTTCGCGCATTGCGACGACCTCGACTTTGAGCACCGCCAGGGCCTGCAGATGGACATCCTGAAGACCGAGGGCGAGCCGGGCGGGGACGAGGGCGCCGAGCCGCCCGTCGAAGGAGATATCCATTACCAGCGCGGGGGCGGCGCGCCCCTGCCGCCCTCGGGTTCCAAGGACCAGGCCATGGGGGCTGGTGGCGAGTTCGGGGGACAAGACAAGCCCAAGATCACGGCGTGGGAGGCGGGCTGGAACGTGACCAACGCCATCCAGGTGAGCCCGGGATTCCCATGTCTGCCTGCCACCCTCCAACCCCTCCAGCTCCGCGCACCGGGTTATCCCCTGTCAAGTCCCCCCTCCCCAACCTGAGGGTCCCCGTCCCCCTTGGGGCCCAGCCCTCTGCCAGGATTTACGCCCCCAGGCGGTGTCGCGGTCCCGGTACCCGACCCCGAGGCCGTCTCAGCCGCCGGACTGCTAGGCTGAGGTTTTACCAGAGATGGGAGCCCAGAGACCCCGCAAAAACGGGGGTGGGGGGAGAGAGGAGGAGTGAGGGAGAGAGAAAATCAGGATTGGAGGGAACTGTATCCCTGGGACTCCGGAATGGATTCACAGCTGCATTTTCTGGAGGGAGGGAGAAGGCCAAAACGCTAAACTGGGAATCGCCTCTGACACACACATAAAGCAGCTGACGCCGTACACAGGCAGGCACAGCCCCACTGCCCCACGAATTAATACGGGGGCGCATGTGCGCACGACATGCATCTATCAGAGTTGGATAGGATTACCCCTAAAAGTCACCTTCCTACATCACTACGCCTCCCTGCACGCAGAAGCACACACCTTTACATACCAAGCACACACGCACAGCCCCGTTTGAACACAACACACCCATATATGCAGTTATGCAGACAGGTTATGCAGATCGGGCCCCCTTCCTCGGGTCCATCCCTGCAGGGGACATCTAGGCGCACACAAACGTATGCACACACGTGCGCCTCCACAAGCACACAGTCTGTGGTCCCCCAGCGCTCCCAATGCACAGACTCATCCCTCTCCTTCGAAATCCCGGTTGCATCGCAAAGAGGCTACTAGCTTCTCTTCCCGTGACCCTGGTGAAGCCACAGCTAGATGCTTGGAACCGCCTCTAGTGCCGGGCCCACCGCCCCTTCAACCCTACTCTGGATTCCCCACTGCCCACCAGGCGGTGCCGGGCTGAGCCCCGAGCGGGTGTGGGGTGGGCACAACGACCCGGGGAGCAGGCTGAGGCGGGAAGGCCCCGGGCCGCCCTGCAGAGGAGGTCTCAGCCCAAGCTGCCCGCAGGCCCTGCGGCTGGGCTCCCCTGGCGTCGTTCAAGTGCACGCTTGTTGCGGCGCAGGACGTGGATTTCCCGGGAGCTGGAGGCCGCTGAAGGGTTGCTGGGGGACCAGGGCCCCGCGGGGGCTGCGCACTAAGCGGCCACACCCGTGGCGCCCCGACTCCCGAGCCTGGTGAGACCTCCCAGCGGTGACTGGGGCTCTGGGACCGCGCGCCTAGGTTGCCGGCGGCGCCTGGTCTAGGAAGGCAGGTCCGGGAAGGGCGCGTTCAGTAGGTGGGTAGAGAGACCGGGTGGGGGAGCTGGAGGTCTGCAGGTCACAGGGACCCCGAATTTCGTTATCGTTTCTTTTCCTTGTGGCTTCTAGCCTCTCCTTTCACAGCTCTGCCGCCGGCGCCTCCACTTCTAGTCCTAGGTTCCTGCTGGATTTCTCCAGTAACGCAGCACTGGCGCTGTCTACGCAGGCCAGGCGGGTATCTGGCTTGCTCAATCCACATTAGGACCCTCTGACCCGACTCTGGCCCTGCCCTAAAACTCCCTACGTCGGACCCTGCCTTCCCCTTCCGGAGCCTCTGGCCACACTTTCACCCTCTCCTACCTCCGCCTGTGCCCCTGGGCTGGCCCTTAGGCGCCAACACCTCCTTCGTTGGCTTCCCTACACCCGTTCCAGCTCCACCTGAAATTCCGGGGCCCCTCTTCCTTGCATCTGGGGCCCAGCGCTCCCCATCTCTTAACCTCTTCAGGCCCTGGCCCCCCACCCTTTCCGTTCTCCTCCCTAGTCCCCAGGAATCAGCCCCCTGCACCACCCCCCAGCATCTCCACTTACCCCATCCCGCCTCAGAGCTGACCCCGCAGTCTCTGCCCATCTCCCAGCCCTCAAGTCACCTCTCCTTCTCTGTTCCGGCCTCGAACACCCCACTCTGCATCCTTCAGCACCCAAGCTCCCCATGAGGCCTCCCGCCACCCCCATTCCAGTTTTTATCACATCTGTCAAAGGTTTAGGCCAAATTATCCCTTAGCGCCCCCTTCGGGCTGTAGCCTTAAGCCTCTTCCCCAGACCCTCGATTCCCAGGCGACTCCGCTGAGCGCCCGCCTCTGGCTGCCTCTCTGCCCCGCAGGGAATGTTCGTGCTGGGCCTGCCTTACGCCATCCTGCACGGCGGCTACCTGGGCTTGTTCCTCATCATCTTCGCCGCCGTCGTGTGCTGCTACACTGGCAAGATCCTCATCGCCTGTCTGTACGAGGAGAACGAGGACGGCGAGGTGGTGCGTGTGCGGGACTCTTACGTGGCCATCGCCAACGCCTGCTGCGCCCCGCGCTTCCCCACCCTGGGCGGCCGCGTGGTGAACGTGGCGCAGATCATCGAGCTGGTGATGACTTGCATCCTGTACGTGGTGGTCAGCGGCAACCTCATGTACAACAGCTTCCCGGGGCTGCCCGTGTCGCAGAAGTCTTGGTCCATCATCGCCACGGCTGTGCTGCTGCCCTGCGCCTTCCTCAAGAACCTCAAGGCCGTGTCCAAATTCAGCCTGCTGTGCACTTTGGCTCACTTCGTCATCAACATCCTGGTCATCGCCTACTGCCTGTCGCGGGCGCGCGACTGGGCCTGGGAGAAGGTCAAATTCTACATCGACGTCAAGAAGTTCCCCATCTCCATTGGCATCATCGTGTTCAGCTACACGTCGCAGATCTTCCTGCCTTCGTTGGAGGGCAACATGCAGCAGCCCAGCGAGTTCCACTGCATGATGAACTGGACGCACATCGCCGCCTGCGTGCTGAAAGGCCTCTTCGCGCTCGTGGCCTACCTCACCTGGGCCGACGAAACCAAAGAGGTCATCACCGATAACCTGCCCGGCTCCATCCGCGCTGTGGTCAACATCTTCCTCGTGGCCAAGGCGCTGTTGTCCTACCCACTGCCCTTCTTCGCAGCGGTCGAGGTGCTGGAGAAGTCCCTCTTCCAGGAAGGCAGCCGCGCTTTCTTCCCCGCCTGCTACGGTGGGGACGGGCGGCTGAAATCGTGGGGGCTGACCCTGCGCTGCGCCCTGGTGGTCTTCACGCTGCTCATGGCCATCTACGTGCCACACTTCGCGCTGCTCATGGGTCTCACCGGCAGCCTCACGGGCGCGGGCCTCTGCTTCCTGCTGCCCAGCCTCTTCCACCTGCGGCTGCTCTGGCGCAAGCTGCTGTGGCACCAAGTCTTCTTCGACGTGGCTATCTTCGTCATCGGCGGCATCTGCAGCGTGTCTGGTTTCGTGCACTCGCTCGAGGGGCTCATCGAGGCCTACCGAACCAACTCGGAGGACTAGCGCGCCCAGGCGAGCCGGGGCCCCGCTCCAGGGCGCTCACGCGCTCCCTCCCCAACCCTCCCCCGCCCCACCAGCCCCGCTCTCCCTGCCGTGGCGCTTGGGAAGCCAAGCTTTAAACATCTCCGGTTCCTAGTTTCTGATTATTGGGGATGGGGGGGGGAGGGTGGGAGGGATAGGGATCCACAATCCATCGCGTCTGCGTTTCTGTTGTCCTTTTCCACAACACCCAGGTTTCCGGGGGAGGTGCGGGCGCATTTGTGGGCAGGCATTTCTGTCCATCTAGGAGGAGCCCCGACCCTTTGGTCCCAGTCTCCGAGGGGGTGGGAAGGGAGGGAGAGGGGGAGCAGCCGCAGGCGCAGAAATTTGACCTTGGGGAGGGGGGACATTTCACAGTCGTCCAGTGCTCGGAATATCTGCAACGTCCAGCCATTTCCAGCAAGAGTGCTTCCCATTTCCCAGACAGCTCAACCCTGCGGCGGGAAAGGCAGGCCGGGAAATCCTTTTCGGGTGGCGATTTCCTTCGGTGCAGCAGGGAGACAGGAGCCTAGGTGGGCCGTCTTGCCTGCCGGTTTTCAGGAATTCAAACTCATCTTGTGCAATTTATCAGGTTGTGGAACTGTTCTACTGTGCGTGTGGTGTGCTCGTGGTGAATAAGATGAAATGTATATCAGAAAAAAATCTATCTCTAATTTAGAGTGCGGTGCATAATTATATCCGCAAATAAAGACGTTCCAAAAGGTGCCCGCGGCTTCTTGTCAGTTCTGCATTTTCGCGCTGGGAGGGATCCCCGCGCTCTGGAGAGCAGGGTACTCGCTACAACCCAGCCTCGTGAAACAGGCGGGGGGTGGAGGAGCAGCTTTGGCAAAAGGGCTCCGGGAAAGCTGCAGAGAGCTCACAGGTGGCTCACACCAAGAAGACGCGCTCCTGATGTTTGGGAGACGCATGGAAAGGAGCAAACATCCTGGGGAGCAGTTTGGATGTGGCCTCTGACCTCAGCCACCAGGATAAGGTTTGTTCTGAACCTCTCCCTTCCCAGGGGTGGATTCATCTTAGAATTTGGGGGAGTCTCTCAGCTTCCAATTCTTAAAAAAAAAAAAAAAAAAAGGAGGGCTTCCCTGGTGGCACAAGGGGTTAAGATGCAACCTATGAAGCTGTCTGCAGCCACCGCAGCAGGAATTCGATCCCCCATGGGGGAGCTACCCACATGGTGCAGCAGACCTCTCCTGACTCACCCACTGCTCCCCTCAGCAGAGTATTTCAGTCAATCTGTCTATTCTCTTCCCCACTCTGTCTCTGGTGAGCCCTCTCATACCCAGTGGCCTGCACCCTAGTTCTTGCCTGTACCCCAGTTTTCGTATGCATAAATAAATCAATCTTGAAAAAAAGGAAAGGAAGAAAAGGGGGAAAAACCTTTTATATATAAAAGCTCTATGCGTTTGTTCAACAGACATTTGTAGACAGTCCTGAGCTGTTGGAACTCACTGTCTAGTAGAGGAGAGGGCAGTAAGGAATCCATAACACTACCGCCCCTCTGTAAGGAGAACTATCGAGAGAGTCCGCAAGAATTGTGTATTTCCTGGCCCCCCTACAATAAACAGATCTGGCCCTATCTGAATCAACTGCCAGACACTTGCACTCCAGTATCCCTTTGGGTAACCTGTTTGCCAATATGTGGAGAATCACCCACCCTAGGGATAATTCCTCTGCTTGAATTACCCAGTTTCCAGTCCTTTTTTCCCCGCAAATCCAATTCCAAGGGAGCACTACCAGCCCTCCACCTCCTCCAGGAGGGCCAGTCCCTGGGGCTATTGGACTGGGTCCTCAGGTACCTTGCAAATGCTAGCCAGGAGCCAGGAGGGCTACTGGGCATTCATGGGCTCCTCTTCACTGCCATAGAAGCCATGTGGAAGGTTCTAGGTCTCTATCACTAAGGCAGAGGCCTCATTTGAAACTGTATCTCCAGGTGCCGTCTGTGTTCAGTAAAGAACCAGGAAATGTCTGTGTGAGGGCCTTAATGAGTGTGTGTGCATGAGTGTGTGTGTGCACAGAACATCTGTGTGGGCATGCCTGCAAGAGAGGTGAACTCACACCACTGGGATTCTGCAGCCACAGAAGCAAGTGGGGGCAGAAAGGGGATGCGATCCAGTTCCCTCCGCAAACTACATCCCTGACCATTTAAACAGGCTCTTTGAGACGTCCCTTGTCATCCACCTAACCCCCACATCTTTCTCACTATTGTCCAGCGGTCAGAGTCTGGAGGTGTCCAGATAATCATGTTCCTCCCCTCACACCCAGTGAGGTCTCCCAGGCCTGGGGAGCTGACTGACCTTCCCCCAGTCCTGCCTCCCACAGCTCCTCAGGTGTGGATCCCCTGACACCCTCTGAGTCAGAGCAGAGTGTCACCTGGAAGGGCGGATTTCTGCAGTGGAAAGGAAGGTGGAAGCTTCACTTTGCACCTGCTCCATCCTTCCCATCTTTAAAAGGACAAATGAGATAGCAGGCTGAGCGGCTGCCACCTCCTGGGACTCGCCTGGATTCATTCCACTGAATCCTAACTCCGGGCTTTGTGCGCCACTTCCAGGGGGTCCTGGAGCCGGAGCTGGAGCTAGAGGGGGAGGTAGACCGTCTCCAAAGGAAACCCTGCACCCTCGTCGGTAGGACCCCCACCGCCAGACTCATAACAGGCTGCCCGGAGAAATAGGGAGCAGAAATAGACGGGACCCATCTCCGCACACCCCCACCCGACCCAGCACCAAGTGCACAGGTAGAAGTTGAGAGGAGACCCCCCCCCCCAAGCTCTCCATTTCGCAGTGAGCTCGACGTCCGGGTCGAGGAAGCTGACAGACCCTGCGAGTCGCATACGGGGGTCGAATCCTCCTCAGGACCTGAATTTCCATCAGTTCCAGTTTCGATTCTTACAGCTAATGGTGGCGAGACGCGCCGTGGACGCTGCAAGCTATCCCCACTGGCGTCCGCAACAACCGCGCGCGGGTACACCCAGCACAGGACCGCGTCCGGAGCCCACAGGAAATTTGTACTTCCGAGGAACCCTGGATCCTCCGCCGCTCAGACCCGAGAAGGCCCTGCCTCGCCCCCCAGCGGTGAGCGAGCCAGCTGCGGGGCCTCCGAAGAAGGTTCCTGCCTTTGGAATTAGGGTCTTCTCTTTCCCGCACACCCCAGATTCCGAAGTACTTCCTGCCTCCTTATTCCCTCCTACCTCCCCCCTCAACCTTCCAGTTGATAATTACTGCCTATCTCTAGTGTTCCATTTCAGGTCCTCCATATTTCAAGAGTGGATTTTGGTCGTTTTTTCCCCAAACACAGTAAGATGCTGTGTTAAAAAGGGAAATTTGAATTAACTGATAATGCAAGCGGCTCCTGGCTTTGCCCTCTGAGAAGTTGTCTTATTATCCTCTGGACTGTCTTGCAGAGCATTCTCTCACTGGGGCACAGCCTGGGCACCAGCATTCTCCTGGTGCAAGCAGAGGATTATAGAGTTACTTTAGGGGTCAAATACTTAAAAAAGCAGGAATCCAGATTTTTCTTAGGAAATATTATTCCCGCAACATGTAATAGATGTTAAGGGTTGAATCTGTGCCTCTCAAAAAGATATTGTGATGTCTTTAGTCCCCGTGCCTGTTAATGGAACCTCTGGGAAAAAATGGCTGTTGTAGATGCACATATGTAATTAGTCATACTGAGGTAGGGGGGCCCTTAATCCAGTATGATTTGTCCTTACAAGAAGAAATGAGATGCTGAGACAGAGAGAGGTAGACACAGGGAGAATACCACCTGACAGGGAATGTTGTGATGTGATCCTTCAACAAGCCAAGAATTGCAAAAGGAGAAGCTAAGAGAAAGGCATGGAATAAATTCTCCCCTGAAGCCTTATAGAGAGCATGGCCTTGGTGACACACCTTGGTTTTGGACTTGTAGCATCCAGGACTGTGAGAGAATACATTTCTATTGCTTTGAGTCATATTATATGCTTTGTTGTAGTAGCCCTAGGAAGCTAATAGAGTTAGCTTCTGATTTTTTTTTTTTGGTGGTGATCAGTCTTTATTGATTTATCATATGTTCACAAAACTATTCTTTTGGGGACACAGCTCCACACCTCAATATGTGCATAGGTCCACTCATCCATCACCAAAGTTCCAATGCCATCACGCTATCACATTGACCACCGATGCCTTTGCTTCCACACCTCTCCCTCTTCCCCTCTGGTATTCATCACAATTTTCACAAAATCCATGAGTTATTATTATTGTATCTTGCCAGTTTTTTCCCTTTGGTTGTTTATATTCCACAGATGGTTTATTTTGCTTAGCGTAATCATCTCACATTCCATCCACATTGTCCCAAAATGCAAGATTTCACCTTTTAGATAGCTGAGTAATATTCCACAACTTCTTTACCCGCTCACTCATTCATCATCTGAGGATGCTGTCCAGGAGTGTAGCACCTGTTTTCTTCTTTGTATATGGCTTTTGGTCTTACAGCCAAGTCCTTAATCCATTTTAAATTAATTTTCCTGATTGGTGTTAAATAATGACCTAGTTTCACTTTTTTTGCAAGTGACTGTCCAGGTTTCCCAACACCCTTTATTGAAGAGGCTTTCCTTTCTCCATTGTATGGTACTAACTCCTTTGTCTTACATTAACTGTTCACATACGTATGAGTTCATTTCTGGCCTGTCAATTTTGTTCCATTAATTTATGTGTCACGTTTGCTCCAAATACCATACTGTTTTGGTTGCTGTCACTTTGTAGTATAGAGTGAAGCTGGGGCATAGAATACTCCCATTTTTCTTCTTTTCTCTCAGGATTGCTTTGGTTACTTGGTGTCTTTTGTGGTTCTGTACAAAGCTTAGAATTGTTTGCTCTATCTCCTTGAAAAATTCTATTGGGATTTTGATAGGTATTGGATTGAACCTGTAAATTGCTTTAGGTAATTTGGTCATTTAAACAATGTTTATTCTTCTGATCCATGAACATGGAATATCTTTCAATTTCTTTGTGTTTTCTGATCTGTTTTCTCTGGTGATTTCTATGGGAAAATAATTACAGACACACATTTGTTTAGTGCTTTGTTGTGCAACAGAGTATCCACTAGTCATATATGAACATTAAAAATAAAATTTCAGTTCCTCAGCTGCACTATTTACATTTTAAGTGCTTGATGGTTACTTGTGATTAGTGGATAGTGCATCACAGGCTGTAGAATATTTCCATCAGGCAGAAAGTAGAGTGGATCTAGTGTATTGATGATTTTTTTCCTGTAATAATGCTGCAGGGTAACCCCAGAATTTCAGTGGATTATAGGAATAAATATTTTTCTTATTCATGGGTCCACAGGACAGTTCAATTTTAAATTACAGTTGGCTGGACTTGGCTCCAGGCTGCAGTTTGGATTCAGGTATGTTCCATGTGTCGCTCATGGTCTTTAGACTTGGGGCATGTTCTTATGACAGCAGGAATATGAGAGAGCAGTTTAAACCACACAGGCACAGGCACATTTAAATCTTTTGCTCAGATCACATTTAGTTAACAGTCCATTGACTAAAGCAGGTCACATGGCCAAGTCCAATATCAAGGTCTATAGTGAGAGGCTTTATAAAATTAGAGTAGACAGAGTAGATGTAGAATCCTATTAGAAGAGTGAAGAACTGACAATAATCCAATCTACCTCACCTGTACATTGTTCTTGTTTTTTTTTTTCTAAAAAAGTGATACATTCACATGGCTATTAAACTAAAAGTATATAAAGAAGTATGCAGTGGCACACCTGACCCACACTGACCCACCCATGTGATCCCCTCCCTTTGCAGGTAAACCCTTTCTTGTTGATCTGCATGAATATACAAGCAAAACCATGGATTGCTCCATTGCTCCTCCCTTTCCTTGCTTTTTTTTTTTTTTTTTAAGATTTATTTATTTATTTATACAAGCACTGGGTACAGTCAGAAGCCAGGGAGGGTGAGAGAATTCACCAGAGCCAGAGCGGGGAGCAGAAGAGGCAGACCGATGAAGTGCACTGCTGAGGGGAGCAGCGGGCTCTGCTGGGCCATGAGGGTCACCTCCTTGGCCGGGGATCGAACTCCTGCTGCAGTGGCAGCAGATTACTTCATAGGTTGAGTCTTAACCCCTTGGGCCACCAGGGAGGCCCCTTAACAAATACATTTTGAAACATCATATTGTTTGATAAAACATCACATACATGCAGAAAAGTGCGCAGGCCATAGGTGGCCAGCTTGATGAATTTTCCCAAAATGGACAGGCCTGCCGAACGAGCTCCCAAATCAAGAAACTGAGCATGGTCGGTATCCCAGCGTTGGGGTTTCCTTGACAGCCAGGCTAAGGGCGACGTAACCACGCGGGGGCGGAGCCAAGGGCGTTTGAAGGAGAGAGACTCAAAAGAGGCGTGGCTGGGCGAAAAGGCGGGCTCCACCGATCAGGGCGCCCGGCCGCGGAGACCAGGAAGGGGCGGGTCCTGCTGGCTGACGCATTGGGGGCGGGGCTTACGGCCCAGACCGCGGCTGGCGTGAGGGGGCGTGGCCAGGCCAGCGAGCGTGGGCAACTGCCCAGGACTTCGCTGAGAGGCCCAGGCCTGGCGATCTCCAAGGCGGCCTGGGCCCCGCGGGGCGAGTCCAGAAGCAGAGGCTGACCGGGCTGAGCGAGGGGAGAGCTGGGGTGTCCCGTCACGCGCAGGGGCGGGGCTTCGGGCCGTCGGGGCGGCCGCTGCGGCGGGGGGCGGGGCCAGCGCGCGTCCCAACATGGCGGCGGCCGGTGCAGCCGGGCTGGCGGCGAACGTGTTCCCGTTCCGCGACGCCCGCGCCGCGCCGGACCCGGTGCTAGAGGCCGGCCCGGTCGCGCATGGGCCACTGCCGGTGCCGCTGGTGCTGGACAATGGGTCGTTCCAGGCTCGCGCCGGCTGGGCGTGCCCGGGCCCGGACCCCGGCCCGGAGCCGCGCCTGCAGTTCCGCGCTGTTTGCGCCCGCGGGCGCGGCGGGGCTCGGGGCGGGGCCGGCCCGCAGGTGGGCAACGCGCTGGGCAGCCTGGAGCCGCTGCGCTGGATGCTGCGCTCACCCTTCGACCGCAATGTGCCGGTCAACCTGGAGCTGCAGGAGCTGCTGCTGGACTACAGCTTCCAGCACCTGGGAGTCTCCTCACAGGTGAGGGGCGGGGTGGGCTGGACTTAGGGAAGGTTCTGTCTTCGCTCTGTCTGCTCTCCCAGAGCTCAGGTATTAAGGACCTAACGTGTGAAAGCCCTGTGCTAGGCGCATGGACTACAGCAATTAAGAAAAATAATGTCATTCTAATTAGAGCATGTATTCGCTCATTAACAAATGTGCATGGAGCCCCGACTCTGTGCTGGGCACTTTTCCAGGAGTATGGCATACCTCCGTGATGGGTCCACAGAACTTTCTGTGCTTATAGATCCGGTATGGAAAGACGTATTTTGAAAAGACAACAGTAGAATTAGTAGTACTCAGTAGATTCTATGGCAAGCTAGAAGAAAAGGAGAGGGCTGTAGTTTTTTCAATAAGATCGCAGGGTAGGACCTGGGGATGGTGATGTTTGAGCAGGGAATTAACGATGATTGAGGAACTAACACTGATCATCTGGAGACATAATATCCAGACCAAGGTAACAGACAATGAAAAGGCCCTGAGGCAGGAGTGTGCCCAGATTCTAATTGCAGGGCAGCCAGAATGAGGGGGAGAGTAATAAGGGGATGAGGAAGTCAAAGAGGTAATGAGGGGGCAACTCACATACCTTATAGGCTTTTATGGGAGCTGTTGTAGGGTGTTGAGCTGTGGCGGGCTATGACTTATGTTCCAGAGGGTACACTATAGCTGCTAACATGGAGTATAGGGTAGAAACGGGGAGACCGGTTGCCCTGGATGGATTGCCCAGGGGTGATGGGGACTTACACGAGGGAGGTATCCAGGGATGTGGTAAGAAGCAGTTGGATTCTGGAGATAGTTTTGACAATAGAGCTGATCTGAATTACTGACAGTTGGCATGGGGCTTGATTTAACCTTAAATTAATCCTACTTTCCGTACTTTTATGTTTTCTTGAAACAGCTTCCAGTAGGGATGAGATGAGTATTTTTTTTTGCTTCTGATCACGTTTTTGAATGGAGAACAAAAGCAAATTCAGTCTCTGCAATAAGCATTTTGGTTTCTTGCATTCTTTAAAAAGTGTATTCCTTTATCACCCATTTACTTTTTCTTTTCTTTCAAAGTAGGGCTGTGTTGATCACCCCATAGTTTTGACAGAAGCTGTGTGCAACCCTCTGTATTCACGACAAATGATGTCTGAGCTCCTTTTTGAGTGCTACGGGATCCCCAAGGTTGCCTATGGAATCGATAGCCTTTTCAGCTTCTACCACAACAAGCCAAAGAACTTGACTTCCACTGGGCTCATCATCTCTTCTGGATACCAGTGTACACATATTTTACCCATCTTAGAAGGGAGGTGAGTTGTGCTTATGGCATTTGAGTACTGTTTTGAGAAGCATTCAGGAAACATTTACTGAGTGCCTACTTAAAAGGTAGAGTGATAATAGCATGTTGGACTGTTAAGCACTTGTGGGCTTAGCTCTGACCTACCCACCTAATTATGGGTCAGTCACTTTTTTTTTTTTAATATTTATTTATTTATGTATACAAGCACTGGGTACAGTCAGAAGCGCGGGAGGGTGAGAGATTTCACCAGAGCCGGAGTGGGGAACAGAACAAGGAAGTACACTGCTGAGGGGAGCAGCGGGGCGGCAGGAGAGGTCTGCACGCCATGCAGGACCCTCCTCTGGTGGCCCAGGATGGAACTGGTGCTGCAGAGGCTGCGGGCAGCTTCGCAACCCAGCGCTCAACCGCTGCGCCACTGGGGAGGCCCAATAAAAATGTTTTTTTGAGTAATTTCTTTTATTTTATTTAAAAAATTTTTTTAAGATTTATTTTTTAATTATACGATAGCTGGGGTACAGGCCAGAGATGCAGGGTGTGAGAGGATTCACCAGAGACAGAGTGGGGAGCAGAACAAGCAGACTGACTGAAATACACTGCTGAGGGAGCAGTGGGCGAGACAGGAGAGGTCTGCTGTGCCATGTGGGAATCTCCTTGGCCGGCTGGGAATCGAACCCGTGCTGCAGAGGCTGCAGTTAGCTTCATAGTGCTGTGCTCAACCTGCTGTGCCACCGGGGAAGCCCTTTTTTGAATAATTTAGATCTTTGTGTTTTGGAATCACTTTTTTTATGAAGAGCTTGCTTTTTTTATTTTAAAGCTCCCTAATCACTCTAGTTTAGACCTTTTCAGGTACAGTGTCTGGCACATAATAGGTATTTATCCAATATTTCTGAGCTGAATAAAAGTTGAGGTTAGTTTCTATCAATCTGCCAAGAGACTAGGCTAGTATTGTGCTCTCTTGAAATGATTTCTCATTGAGTAAGAGGTTGTATAATAGGAAAGGAGTTGGATTTGGAGTTGAATACCTGGAGTTGCAGCCCTCCTAAGGATGAGCTCCTTAACTTCTTCCCTTAGTTCCCTAACATGTAAAATTGGGAAAAATAGATTTCTCAGGGTTACCCCAAGGATGAAATGAGATGATGTAGGTGATGGCACTTTATAAACTGTACAGCAGTTTGAAAATTTAAGTCAGAATAAATGCTGTTGAATTTTTTGAGACTTGTAGTGAGCTTTTTCTCTTGGAAGTTTTTACAATATGAAGGAAGAAGTAATTCTTAGATATTGCCAAACACTTCTGGTGAGTGGAGTTTGCTATTTATGTAAACAAAATATGCAGAAGCTAAAAATAGCATCACGTTATTTTTATGCCATTTTGAGAGAAATTTTTTTTCCACCTGAAAGATCAGGAATGATTTGGTTGGAACATGTTCTGTTCTCTACTGGCATCTGCTGGTGAGTTGCGATACAGCAGTGACACTTTAACAGGAAGTTCTAGTGCTCTACTGCTCGCTTTCTCACATTAAGAAATAGTTATTCTAATTCTCTTCCCCTTCATTTCACGTGAGTGGATCTGATACTCGTAGGAGACTGAAATAAGCCCATATATGTGCAGTTACTTAATGTGTTTGCTTCAGTCAGAGTGTCTGGGGGATGGGTTCTCAAACTGGGTTATACTAGAGTTTCTTGGGAAGCTCCTTAAAAGGAATATTCTCAAGCCCACCCCAGAACAAATGAACATGTTTAACATTTCCCCAGCTACTTGGAGGATGCTTAGTCCCAGGACCACAGTGAGAGATACATGGCAAGTCCATAGGGTCTGACTTCAGAGCCTGTGTTCTTCCCATTGAACCTCGCTTCCTCCTGAGACTCTTGGCAGAAGTTAGAGGGCTGTGGTCTGGTCTGGACTAGGAATTCTTGCGTTGGTTAAGTGGCTGGAGCAAGGGAACTTTCAAGTTCCTTCCCAGTGTAAGGTTTAATGTTCCCCCAGCTGGTTTGTGTCTTCCTCATTCTTTTGCATTAATATCCCTTTTCCCCTCAAGGTTCTCCATAGTCTCTTTTTTGTGATGCCAATAATTTCAGTTTTCCTCTCTGTTCCTTGGTGGTAGGTTAGATGCTAAAAACTGCAAGCGCATCAACCTTGGAGGAAGCCAAGCAGCTGGCTACCTCCAGCGTCTCCTCCAGCTGAAGTACCCTGGGCACCTGGCCGCCATCACACTGAGCCGCATGGAGGAGATCCTGCACGAGCACAGCTACATCGCTGAGGACTACATAGAAGGTGATGAAGGGGACATTTGCTGTGGCTTTTGGATGGTGTCCACCTTCCTTAAATTGTTCCCAGGATGGCTGTCTTTCAGCTAACCCTTTCTCTTTGGGTATTTAGTCTCTTAACAAACTATTTAATAAACTCATAGCTTATAAGTGTAGGCTCCTTTTCATATGGCTTTGGCTATTCTGGTTCCTCTGCCTTTCCGTATAAATGTTAGGTTCAGCTTGCCCATATATTTTTTTAAATTTATTTATTTATGCATACAAGAACTGGGGTATAGGCCAGAGGTGTGTCTCTGGTCTCTCTTTTCACCAGAGACAGAGCGGGCAGACTGACTGAAATATACTGCTGAGGGGAGCAACGGGCAAGTCAGGAGAGGTCTGCTGTGCCATGTGGGTCACGTCCCTGGCTGGGGATCGAACTCATGCTGTGAGTGGCTGCAGATTGCTTCATAGTGCTGTACTTAACCCCTTGCACCACCAGGGAGGCTCTACCTTGGAGTTTTTGCAGATGCCCTTTATCAAGGTGAGCAAATTCCCTTCAGTTTCTCGTTCTGTTGAGCATTTTTATCATGAATTGGTTTTGAATTTCGTGAAATTTTTTTTTCTGCATCAATTGATAACACTCCTGTGGTGTTCCAGCTTTGGATGGTTTATGTGGAGATTATGATTTTTGAATATTGAACTCTAGTTTTGATTTTTTTTATAAACCCCACTTTATCATGTGTGGTATTGTTTTTATATACTGCTGGGTTTGATTTGGTAGTATTTTGTGGGGTTTTATATATCTATTCATGAGGGATATTGTTCAATAGTTTCCTTACACTGTATCTGTCTAGTTTTGGTGTCGGGGGATGCTGGTCTTGTTAGATGAGTTTACATTCTGGAAAAGATCAAATAAATATGTGAAGTTTTCTTTTTTCTTTAAATATCTGATAGAATTCTCTAGTGAAACTATTTGAGCCTGGAGAATTCTTTTTCGGAAGACTTAATTATGAATTAAATTTCTTTCATAGATATAAGACTTCAGGTAATCTCTTATTTTTTTTTCTTTTTATTTCCTTCATGCTTTAGGCTTACTTTGCTCTCTTTTTCTAATCTATTTAGGTGGAAGCTTATTCACAATTCCACAAATTTTGATGTTATATTTTCATTTTGATTGAATTCAGATATTTTCTAATTTCTCTGAAGACTTATTTTTTGAGCCTTTGATTATTTAGAAATGCGTTATTCTTATCCAAGTCTTTGGGGATTTTCCTATTATCTTTCACTGAAATATTTCATTTTCTTTTCTTTTCTTTTTTTTTGTGGGATCCTCGCCGATGGCCGGGCAATGAGATATTTCTTGTTTAATTCCATTATTGTCACAGGACTTTCTTTGATATCATTTAAGCTTGTGCAGCTTTATTTTATGACCCAGGCAAGGGCTGCCTTGCCAAATGTTCCATGTATACATGAAAGCAGTGTGTACTCTGCAGTTGCTGGGTAGCGTGTTCTCTACTATCGATTAGGCTGGTTGATGGTGATGTTCAGTTCTTTTATATCCCTGTTCATTTTCTGTCAATTAGCTCTATTGATTTTTTTTTTTAAAGATTTCTTTTTTTTTTTAATTTTTTTTAACAATTTATTTATTCATGCATACAAGAACCGGGGTACAGGCCAGAAGTGCAGGGGATGAGAGGATTCACCAGAGACAGAACTAGGAACAGAACAGGCAGACTGAGGAAATACAATGCTGAGGGGAGCAGAGGGCGAGAACGGAGAGGTCTGCTGCGCCATGTGGGATTCTCACTGGCTGGGCAGGATCAAACCCACACTGCAGAGGTGCTACACTCAACCGCCTGTGCCCCCAGGGGAGGCCCTAGCTCTATTGATTATGAGTGTTCAAGTCTCGAGGGATAATTGTGAATTTTCCTGTTTCTCCTTTCAGTTCTGTCAGTTTTGCTCTCAAGTATCTGAACTCTTTTGTTAGGTGCATATTAAGGATTGTTATGTCTTCTTGGCAGAGTGACCTTTTATCATACATGGTGTCCCTTTGTATCCTTTGTAATTTTCCTTGCTTTGAAGTCTGGCTGTATTTACTATCGCCACTCCAGCTCTCTTTTGATGGATGCTTGTGTGATATGTCTTTCCATCCTTTTAACCTACCTGTATCATTACATTCATTAATCTTAGGGTCTTTATCGCAGGCTTTACCCTTTCATTGGCATGTTAGGACGTTTACATTAGTGAACCATTCCTGTGCTTGGGTTCAGGGCATCATCTTATTGTCTGTTCTGCTCCTTCTCTTTGTTCCTGTTTCCCTCTCTGTCTTCTTTTTGGGTTATTTGGACATTTAAATTATTTGGTATTTTATTTTCATTTATCTACTGCGTTTTTTGCTGTATCTGTGATGTTTTGAAGAGTTTGTCCTAGAGATTGCATAGACATACTTTCCATGTCTGCTTAGCATCACTGTTTCATCAGGTCCTGTGGAATATGGAAATTCAAGCACCCCGAGGCTGCTTTCCCCTGCCCCCTGCAGTTGGCCTTGTCTAACACTATGTCTTGTCACCTTGGAGGCATGTCAGACGCTCTGTGGTTCTTTGGTTTGTCTGACATGATTTAAAGGATTCAAGAGGAGGTCAGGCTGTGATGTCTCACCAGATTTTCATCATCTCTGTTACTCTCCATTCCTGATGTCCCACGTTTCCTTCTGGTGTCATGTCTCTCTGAAGAACATCATTTAGCAGGTCTCTCAGAGCAGCTCTGTAGCATCATGTATAGACTTTATAGCTGCCTTTTGTTGATTGGGTTGAGTCAGAAGTTGAGTGACAAGTGTTTTCTCCACCTCACTCAGGTCAGGAGCTCTGGCATTAACTTCCTGACAAATGTTTCCATTTCATGACTTTGTTTTCTGTGAAGAATTGCAGAAGTGGCGGTGCCCCGACTATTATGAAGACAATGTCCACAAGATGCAGCTCCCATTTTCCAACAAGCTCCTCGGTAGCACTCTGACCTCTGAGGAGAAGCAGGAGAAGCGGCAGCAGCAACTGCGGCGGCTGCAGGAGCTCAACGCCCGTCGGCGGGAGGAGAAGCTGCAGCTTGACCAGGAACGACTGGACAGACTGCTGTATGTGCAGGTAAGAGCCCTCCCCGGGATGGGTCCCTACCCTGCTTCACAGGGTGGTCCCAGGAAATATTCTTCCATGTATGATTCCTCAACATAAGATGCATTGACTAAGTCACGCTTGGTTCCAGGAGTCTGGGGGAGCATCATGTGGAGGACGTGCAGCAGTGTTCCCGAAAGAGCTGTGGACTCTGACTTTACTGCTTTAATTTTGCCTTAGAATGTCCTTTCGTTTCATTTTTAACTTAAGTATAGCAAACATGATTCAGAGTGCACACAACTTATGAGTACAATTTGGTTAATTTTTTCACAATCGTTTTCTGCCATCCTGATTAAGAAATAGAGCATTTTGCCCCCCCACTCCCCAGGCCTCCCTCACATCTCCTCTTAGTAGCTTTTCCACCTCTGCCACCCGAAAGGTAATGATGTTCTGATGTCTGTCCCATAGATTCCTTTTACCTCAGCAGGTGGTGCTGTCACTGATAGGGTGCTGGGCAGAGGGCAGCTGTGTGGGATGTTGGCAGGAAGTGTGATTTTGAGGGAGGACCAGCTGGGGAGCTGTGGGAGCCCTCTCCTGCTGTAGGAGCTTCTGAGGTACTTCTTTTACCTTCCTGTCTGTGATTGCCCTGGTAGTTGAGGATGGACTGTAACTGCTCCGGTTTCAGGAGCTTCTGGAAGATGGCCAGATGGATCAGTTTCACAAAGCTCTGATAGAGCTGAACATGGACTCCCCAGAAGAGCTGCAGTCATACATACAAAAGCTCAGCTCAGCAGTGGAGCAAGCAAAGCAGAAAATCCTTCAAGCAGAAGTCAACCTCGAGGTGGATGTGGTGGACAGCAAGCCAGAGGTAACCCAGTGTTAGAGGGAGGCCCCGTGGTGACTGCACTTAGAGGGAACTAGAGAACGGTGTGATGAGTGATATCCATGGGTGCATGTGTGGGGACACTGTTCCCTTGGGAGGGGAAAGCGTGTGTGTGTGTGTGGGGTGTGTGTGTCCGTGTGAGAGTAGGAAGGACATTCATATACCGGTTGTCTGGTGCTGTCTTGAGCCTGTGCCTGTGCCTTGCAGGTTATTTGGCAATAGTTCAAAGTCTCCTTTAACTTTCTTCCAATGTCTTGTTAAGTATGTCGTGATTGATTTTTCACTTCCTTCCTTCCCGTCTTGATGTTCCCTAGGACAGGGATCGTGTTTCACCTGAAACTTATGACTTTTATAGCCACTTGTAGACATGCTCAATAAAATGTTAAGTTGATTTAAGATCATCCTCATATTCATTACTAACAACTCTTTGACTGTTAGTAAGTGTGGATGTGGCCAAAAGGGCTGGCAAGGGGCTTCCCTGGTGACACAAGGGGTTAAGAACCGCACTGTGGGGCATTCCGAAGCCTCTGTGGCACCAGTTCAATCCCCAGTCGGCCAGGGAGCAACCCCCATGGTGCAGCAGACGTCTCCTGTCTTGCGCGCTGCTCCCCTCAGCAGTGTATTTCACTCAGTCTGCCTGTTCTGTTCCCCACTCTGTCCCTGGTGAATCCTCTCACCCCCCCGTGTCTCTGGCCTGTACCCCAGCTTTTGTATGCATAAATAAAAAAAAAATCTTTAAAAAAAAAAAGGGAGGGGTGGTGCTGCCAGGCAGCAGTGCTGAGATCGGGCCCTGAGTAATCCACCCTAGCACTCCTGGCCCTGCACAGTCAAGGGGCTGCTTGCAAATCACCTTCGTCCCAAGTCGCCGGTTGGCTCTCTTGTCTTTAGAGCTGGAAAAAAGCGTTAATAAATGTGTGAGTTTTTCCTGATTCTGTCAGTTCTAGAGTTCCAGAGCAAAGAAATTTGTTTAATCCTCTGGCAAATAATTAACCAAACCAGGATAATTTATAGGGGGTTTTGTTTTTTAAATCAACTTTCTTTTTAATTCTACAAAGCCTATGCTTTTAGGAAGGAACAGTACTCTGGAAAAATCTGCTTTGGTGCTGGCTGCAGTGGGTGCTGACCGTGACTCCAGTGCTGCCCTTGGCTCAGCATGATCCTACCTGTGCAGAGATAGTCCTGGCAGGAGGCCGCTCTCCCACTCCCACTCCTGCTCTCAGTCACGAGGCCCTCGCTCCATGACAGGCCGTAGACGAGATGATGACAGCGTGCACATTTGATCAAGCGTCTGCGGAGGCAGACTTCCTGGACATAGTGGACCAGATTCCTGAGTTCTTGGGCCAGGGACCCTTACTACCATCTCCCCCTCCACAACATCCCAGATCAGATTTTAGAACTGGTTTGCTTCTCCCAGTTTCAGGTTTGTGTTTCAGACTAGAGCTCTGTACTGGGATTCAGGACCCTGTTGTCTTCGTTGCTTATTCATCCATCTTTAAGCTTTTATCAGATGGAGCATGTCAGCAGGACCTCAGCATCTGTATGCCAGCAGTGTGCCGCTAAGCCATGTGCAGGGGGGAGAGTTGAGGTTGAAAATCCCAAACAGAAATGAAAGTGATCCCTGAGCAGTTGGGGAACTAGTTTTTCTTTTTCTGTGTTCATTTTTCTGCATTTGTTACTTGCTGCGAATGAAACAGTCCTTCATTCAGTGGATGCTCAGTCCCTACTTTGTTCTCTGCTCTGGGGTTCCATATTCTAACCTCTCTGGGCTTGGGATTTGACATATTGGACTTTAAACGGTTTCTTTCTGTATACAACCAGTCTGATGAACTGATCTTTCCCCAAAGCTTTAATGATCAGTCAGCATTTATTCAGGATGATTGTTAGTGATTAGAATTCGTTACAGTAACACTCATGGGGTTACCTAGACCCATAACATTGGCCAGTGTTTCAAAAAACATTTGTAGTATTTTCCAGCAGTATTTACTTTAAGTGGAGAGAAAAGATTTACATGGATCAAAGCTCTTATTCAAATGCCATGTAAACAGAAATGGCTGAATTGAATTAAAACAGCTAAACTTTTTTCACTGGGCAATGTTTTCTAAAATCCATTTTTCCCTGCAGAGATACATTCTGGCCTTGCTATTCTGCAGGTATCCCGATGAGGTTGTCGTGTGGTAGGCTCTGTTAGCACGAAATCTTCAAAGTAGAAGATGCTCGCTTTCTATCCCTGCAGTGGGGGTAGAGGGGCGAGCACAATTTCAGAGCACCATCATTTATTGGAAGACACATTGGGCCAAATATGGAAAGCTCTCCTGCATGACTAGTCAAGCTCAGAGCCAATCCCTGCTTGTTTTTACGCTGCAGGGAACCAGGCAGCGTCTTCTGCGATGTGCTTGGCAAACTCCCTCTGTTCCCTTCCAAAAGAGCAGTCCCGTCTGTGTTCCTGAATGCCACACAATACATGTGGAGACCTGGCAAACCCCAGAGGGAGCGAGGCCAGTGTGGTAGAAAAATCTGTTCCGTATTAGAAGCCTATTGCCTGCCTTGACATTATTAGCTTTGTTCCTCTCTGTGAATCATAGGAATAGGATAAGTAAAGTGTCTTTTTCACACATTTTTAATGATGTGTAGAAGTCACCTTAGTTCTAACATGGCGTGCTTTTGAATATAGCTAGATGGAGTGGATGATGGCATTTTCTTGTAGCTGGAGAAGACTTGGAAAACAAACATCTTAGTCTTCTCTATTCCAGGGAAACTGGAGGGTGTCCCCTAGGGTCCACCACTCAGTGCCAGGCATAGTATGCCAGGACTAGGGTGCAGAGGCATTGAGGTACAGTCCTTGCCCTCCTCCCCTGCAAAAAAATAGGGCCATAGAAGCTGTAATAAAGTTTACCAGTGTGGTGGCAGATGTGTGTGGTAAAGTAGATGGATTTTTGAGAGCAGATTGGGATATCTGAACTGGGCCCTGCAAGATGATTTGATTTCAGTAGGTATGACTGTGGGGAGAAGGCATGTGAGGTGGGAAGCGCCCGGTGTGCTGGAAGCATGGCTTGTTTGGTGTGAGAAATGTGAACAAGAAGGTCTGTGTGTTACAAGAGGCAGGAAGGGACCTCGTGTTGGCACAGATATTTATTAATTATTAAGAGATTTATTCAATCTAGCTGGTAGTCTAAGCCGCGTAGTAGGTCTCCAGCTGCCACTCTTCCTCCCCAGGGGTCTCTGTGTGTGTGTGAGGATGCAGCCCATCTCCCCTGGGCCCAGGACTGAGCTGGCCCATCAGTAGGCTTCAGACAGAGGGTGGGAGTGGGTGACGCTGTGTAAACAGAAAACGGAGGGAATACGACCAAAGTTCATTCCTGGTTTTTTGGTCTTAGAGTCCTGTGTTCTTTTGATTTTTTTTTTTTAATAACTTAGAAAAATTGTTGTGGTTTTTCTTAAGGGTCAGTACATCAGGCAAGGTCCCGATACTTTTCATATCAGTGAGCTAGTAGAACTAAGTCCTCCTGGAGTCACAGGTCTGGTTTGTGTACTCTCTTCTTAGACCCCTGACCTGGAGCAGCTGGAGCCGTCTTTGGAAGACGTGGAAAGCATCAATGATTTTGAGCCCTTGTTTTCCGAGGAGACACCTGAGGTGGAGAAGCCGGTCACCACTGTCCAGGTCTGACTCCCGCAGCCTGGCCGTGTCCATGCTGTGACACTTGACCTAAGCGGCAGGTCTGGTCTAGTCTGCTCCTTTAGGAATATTTTTTCCAAAAACTTCCAGTTCTGTTCTTTAGAGAGGGCAATAACAACACTTAAAACTTCTGAAGTCAGAGGTTTTTCCTCTCTGGCAATTGATTGGGGGTCTAGCACCAAGATCTGTGAATCTCTGGGACATAGTCTCCCTGTAGAAAGAAATATTTTGATCAAGTAACTGCGGACTTGAGACCCAAGAGCTAGCTTTTAATTTTATTTAAGTTTAAACTGGCTCCATTTACAGTTAAGCCAGTGTCATTATGCTGACCTCAGTGGGTCTTTGCTTCTGGCATTCCAGTGGTGACCCGAGCAACTGACCTGCGTGAGAGACATGCCTGGGAGGAGGCTTCTGGCTGTGCAGGGACGGGGAGTGCTGAGCACGCAGTGGACAGGAACCTTGCCTTCCAGTGCCAGACCTTTCTCCTGCTGCTCTTCCCAGGGACCATTCATAGATATTTATGATTCAGAGGCTGAACAAGGGTAGAAATTTGAATTCTCAAATCAAGAGAGTTGGGGAGAGGTTATTCTGGCATGAACAAAGGACAGAAGCAATGTTGGAATAAGGAATGGAGTTTGAGGAAACTGGCAACTGGGGTGTTTGTCATTATGTCCTAAAAATATCTTCTAAACCTTGGGTTTTTAAAGCCCGTCTTTAACTTGGCAGCATATCATCAGCTGTTTGTTGGGACAGAAAGAATTCGAGCTCCAGAAATTATCTTCCAGCCGTCTCTCATAGGAGAAGAGCAGGCGGGGGTAGCAGAGACTCTTCAGTACATTCTGGACAGGTGAGACTAGAAGGTATTTTCCCTCTGTTTCCCAGAACCATTTGTTTGGTAGCTTTGATAACCAACCCTTTGGAATTCTAGCTTCCTCTCTTTTCTGTTGCCCGGCTATGCTCGGATGGTGTCCTTTACCCTCGCATAGTTGGAGATCCGTAATTCTCCTCTTAACACATAAATGTTCAATTGGTTTGAGGAACTTTAAGAATTCCTTTCACATTTGAGCACCACGGTGATGTGCGTCGATCTTCCTAAAACCTTCACATTGCCAACGACTGGTCATTTAAAATCACACTAAAAAATTTGCAGTGCTGAGAAGTTTTTTTCTCTTCAGGCTTTCTGTTTAAGAGGCATTCTCTGACATGTCCCCATGCCGTCCTTTATACAGGCAGTTTCCTGCACTAAAGCATTTTCATCACTCAACGTTGGATGCTTAGAGAACATGATTCCTAGCGCTCTGGCTACTGTTGGTTAAAACACAATGGAAACTTGCACCAAGCAAGAAGACAAACTTGTCATGGCTGCTTTGATTGGCTTTGAACTTTGTCTTAACCATGGCTGAGGAAGTAACCAAGCATGTTTCTTTCTTTAAAAAAGAAAGAAACTCGGCAGTGGAGAGGTGGGCCCTCAAAACAGAGGCAGGACTTTCTGGGTGATGGAATGTTCTGTACCTTGATGGTGGTCATGGTTACTGAGTTACATACATTGTCAGACTTCTTCAAAATATGTGTAGGTCAGTCCTCAATAAAATCAGGTTTTGAAAAACATCTCAGGAAGGCACAAAACTGCAAGGGAAAGGAATCGACCATTTAAATGGATGTATTGACTAGCTATTTGGCGTTCTGTAAAGACACAAATGAAAAAATGGAAGTTTCTCTTTTAGCATTCTGTGTAACCGTTTTCTGTGTTACACTAAGAGCTTACAGTTCCTTATCTTCATTCTCTGCTACTCAAGTTGGAGGGACTGTACCAGAAGGATTGTTTCTCTCCTAGGTACCCGAAGGACATCCAGGAGGCGCTGGTTCAGAACGTCTTCCTCACTGGCGGGAACATGATGTATCCTGGGATGAAAGCGAGAATCGAGAAGGAGCTGTTGGAGATGAGACCCTTTCGGTCTTCTTTTCAGGTACTGATTGTTCACTTACTGTTTTGAATATATTTGGCATTGATTATTTTTTTCTGGTTACAAAGTAAAAAAGTGTGTATGAGATTGCCACTGTTCACATTTTCCTGGCTTTCCTTTCAGTTTTTAGTCTGTGTTTAGTTTTTAAAGCAGAATGGAAATCGTTTTATATACTTCTTTGTTTTTATTCAATTGACAGAGACTTGCATATAATGCAATCCAGACAGTACAAAAGAGCATACGTTGAGAATAAGCTGTTCTCACCAAGATGCTTGTCCTGCTGGCAAAGCTTTCCTTTCACAGACTTTCCTCACATACGAGTGTTTACTGTTTTATAACCTGAATTTCCTTCCCTTGTTGTGAACATTTTCCCATGTCCTTATTCTTCTAAAAGACTTTTTATGACTGTAAGTTATGAATGCCCCATAATTTATCTACCAAATCTGTGATCACCAGGAAACATGGTCTGAGCTTCATCATATACCAGGCACCTTGGGTTGCTAAGATGTCCTCGCCGAGCCCCTAAATAGAAGCCACTTGCTATCAAAGAGGGCTGCAGCCAAGTAAATAGGCTGTGATGAGCTGAGCTGATGGACATACAGGCGTGACGGATATCTCAGTCTTGGAGCTCAGGGACCCTTCCAAGGAACTGAATCTTCTGAGGGTGAAGGAGGTATTTGCCATGTAGACAGTGTGGAGTAGACACTGGGGTGGAGAAAACATTCCGGACAGGAGCTAGCATGAGCTAAGAACAGGGGACAAGCACTTGTTGAGGAGTCGGCAGTAGCTGTGTGGCAGGAACACATGGCTTTGGGGGTGGGGGGGGGCAGTGAGTGTTGGAGAAGTCAGCAGGGCTCACTTGAGGCAGAGCCTGCATGTGCCACTAAGAGGCTCGACCTTGATCCTGTCTGTTGTATGATGTATTACACATACAATACTAATACAGATCCACATACAAAGAATGTGTAATGATATATCACATGTTTGATAGATTGAATTTGGGAAGAGAGGTGGTACCTAAGACAACTCCTGAGTTCTAGGTTGGGCAACTGGTTAGATCAATATGCTAGTCACTCGACTAGGAAATAAGAGAGGAAGGGGGCGGCTTGCGGGGGAGCATAATGACTTCCTTTTCCGGGGCGGGCTGATTAAGTCTCCTGTGAGATCCACAGGAGGGATGACTCATAGCAGCTGATGGGTCCCTCAGCAGTGTCGGGTCCCTCAGCATGCATGTGCAGCGGGCACTGTTAGGGAGAGTAGGTGGAGTCCAGGAGTAGCCTTAAATAACACCAACATTTAAGGGCAGTGGGAGGATGGAGGTGCCAGGGAAGGAGTGTAAGAAAGAGGCTGTGGGGGCAGCGGGCAAGGTACGGGGGGAGAGCAGTAGCCGAGCCGTGGGTGATGGTAAAAAGAATGAGCGCACACGGAGTGGGGTTGACCTGTGATGACATAACTGAAAATAATAGCTGTTAGGATTTTCAAGATTGATTTCTTAAAATTCCCTGAAGTCTTTCCTGTGAATCTGTGAGCACTGGTTGTAGGAGCGCTGCTGCCAGGTCTCTGGTCATCCCAGCCCTGTCTTCTAGCTGTTTCCCCTCAGGAGGCAGAGCCCCACTTGCATGTCTCCCACCTTGCCTGCTTCTTTCACACTGCTGATGTGCCAAGTGTGTCATGCTGAGATTTTAGATTATGTATACAGCAGTGACTCAAACATGAATGTTTAACGCCCTCAGATGTGTGTAACTTTTATATGCTTTGTTGAAAATGTAAAGTTTCTGTTGTTTTTTTCTCATTTAAACAACCACCATTTAAAAACATTACTGAGGGCCTCCCAGGTGGCACAAGGGGTTAAGCACCTCATAGTGAAGCAATCTGCAGTCTCTGCAGTTCAGTCCCCGGCCGGCCAGAGAGAAACCCTCATGGCAAAGCAGACCTCTCCTGTCTTGCCCGCTGCTCCCCTCAGCAGTGTATTTCAGTCAGTCTGCCTGTTCTGTTCCCCACTCTGTCTCTGGTAAATCCTCTCACCCCCCCGCATCTCTGGCCTATACCCCAGCTCTTGTATGCATGAATAAATAAATCTTAAAAAAAAATAAAAACATTACTGAAATATCAGACAATTTAAACAAGCAAAAGTGAAGACAGAAAAAACAATTCAGCTACTGTGACCAATGTTTTTATATATATATCTTCAGGTCACTTTCTTCTCAAGTATTTGAATATAACTAAAAAACAAAAAAATTGTTGATAGCTTGTCTTGTAATTTGTACTTTTTTCACTTTTCAAATTATTGTATCGGTTTCTATATCAGTAAGTATATTTCCAATGCATCCCTTTTATGGCTGTATAATATTCCGTTGTTATGTTCTGTATATCTTATTGTGTTTTACTGGTAATAATAGTAACCACCATTTATTAAATCCTTAACTATGCCAGGAGTATATCAAGCACCATACATTCATTCTTTCAATGACTCTAGGCCAGAGCAGGAAGGGGTCTTGTTATCTTAATTCTGTCGATAGTCAATTCTCACAATTCCTTTGCATCTGTCATCTCAGGCAGTCAGTCTCCTCCACTTATGGGTTTACCTGCTTCATCGTTTTCTCTCTGTGCAACACGATGCCATTTGTGTCATCTTCCCTTAACTTCAGAAAATTCTGACACCACTATTCTAACCTGGAGCTCTGGTGGTTGGGTGAGGGAGGGAACCAGAAAACAGGAAACCTGATTTGAACTAGTGAGCGCGTCCCTGAGAATGAGTGGGCTGGCCTAACTCAGAGCTGCGGACGGACCCTGGCCTCAGCCCAATAATGACCAATGGAACCCACTCTGGCTGCATCCTGGGGAACATGCCAGGTCATCCTCTGCTCTCATTTCTCCTCAGACCCCTTTGCCATCATGGCCTCTGCTTCCCTCTGGCAGCAGGGACTCCAGGGCCTGGAAGACCTTTCCTCCAGGTCCAGTGCCAGCTCTGCTTCCCCTCTTCTGACAATTTGTGGTTGACAACAGGCATTGTGGAGCAGGCGTGGCAGCTGGCCTCACTCGGGCCCATAGAGGTGGGTTTTGTGTTGGTGAAATAGCTGGCAACAATGTATTCAGTGAGGTTGAGTGTAGGGTGCTCTGCATTCTTGTGTACCCTCTTAGAAAATCTGGGGCATCATAGTTCAGCTTTGGGAAGGTGCGGAAATAGTCCTGCACTGCTTGGAATTGTGGGAGCCTTCGTTGTATGTTTCTGGGGAGTAGCTGGCCTGTTGCACATCACTCCCCGAGCGCCGGTGGGAGGCGGCCTGTGGTGAACGTTCTGCTCGTGTTGCAGGTCCAGCTTGCCTCCAACCCAGTGCTGGACGCCTGGTACGGCGCTCGTGACTGGGCCTTGGACCACCTGGATGACAGCGAAGTCTGGATCACCAGGAAAGACTATGAAGAAAAGGGCGGGGAGTACTTCAAGGAGCACTGCGCTTCAAACATCTACGTCCCCATCCGCCTGCCAAAGCAGGCCTCACGCTCCTCAGAAGCCCAGGCATCTGGCAAAGGCGCTGGGGCCAGTGGAGGTGGTGCTGGCGAGCAGGCGTAGCAGAGAGGGGCCATGTCGGCTGGTGTGATGGACAGTGACTGCCAGGTGTGTCCAGCCGGAATCTGCTAGTGACATTTGACTGCAAGATGGATTTCTCCTGGGGAGAACAGTTCAGGGAAACTGGGAGTTACCCTTCAGGACAGTGAGCGTGTGGGGCTTCTCCGGTGAGGACACATGGCCCTCTGGAACCGCAAGTTACCTGTGGCAGCTGCTTCCTGCTGCAGTAAGTGAACACAGGGTGGAAGACGGAGGTGCAAAATGCACGGGGCTTATTTCTTATTGCATTTAAAGTCTCTGTTTTTGTTTTGTAAAGTCCTTTAAATTTTATATTGTCAATGTAGGTATTTTTCTAAATTTATTCAATAATTGCGTGAAGGCCCAGCAGGCAGAAAAGTCTTTCACATACATGGAAAAAGGTGTTATTCATGTAACAAAAGCAGTTGCCCACAGACTTTGTGGTGGTGGAAACAGCAACCTCCTCCTGTTATTCCCCAGTCACTCTGCCAGGGCCCTGCTTGGTGCCTGTTTCTCCAGGGGCAGAAATGAGGCTGGTGTCCCAACTTTTGATCGTACCTGCTTTGCTGGAAACTTTTCCACGTCTGAGGCCTTCCTACCAGTTTCTGATTTTTGACTCTGAGTTTGTTGGCTGCTTAACTTTCTCAGGCCTTTCTGAAGAAATAGGCTGGAGGTTAGTGCTGTAGGTAGCCTTTGCAGTTTTGCCATAAGCTCACATTCCCTGCACCTTTGCATCTCCATCTTAACTGGACAGACAGCCCCTCTCTTGTGTAGATTGCTTGTGAGAATTTTCACTCTCAAACACACCCTGTCATTGGACTCAGAAGGGCCCTGAACTCTGTCATCTCTGTCACAGGATTGCACATTTAAGTCCATGGAACCTCAAGCCTGCCGTCCCATAAGGCCACCCCAGACACCACCTCAAACTGCTTATATGAATTTCCAGGTTGATCACCTGTTCACCAGCACTCAGGGGTTTAGATACTGGAGACTGGAAGGGGGTACAGTGGTGGTGGTTACAGTAGAAGTCCCAGGGCATTGCCATGAACTGTGAGCCATGAGCCTGTGACCAGCACCCACTACTAAGAAAGGGTAGGTGTGAAGGAGGTGGGACCAGCCTGCACACGGGTGGTGTTTGCATGCCACGTTGCCGGAGGAGGAACTGTGCCAACTGCAGCCAGGCCTTCTCCCAGAGGCAACGCCTCCAAAAGCCTGAACAGCCATGGGGAGGTCAAGACTGCTGTAGAGGTCACCCCCTGATGGGAGGAACCCTGGCGGGCAAGTAAGCTGGGATGCATGGTGATCAAAAAAGCGTGAGTCTGGACCTGCTCAGGGTTCCTGTAGATTGGGGGACCTAGGTGGAGGGTTATAATGTGAATAGCGGTCAGGGGAGTGAACCTGAGTGCAGCTGCTTCATCTCATCTGTTTCCCAGCCCTTCCACCTACCTTTGCAGGCGCGCTTCTCAGGCATCTGTTCTGTTCGTCCTAGCTCGGCACACAGGCAGGAATGGCTACCCGTGGGATCCCCAGCCCCTGGCACCAACCACCACAATGCTCTGGGCTTTTATCTCTGCCCTGGGATGGTTTCTTCTGAATTGTAACATATACCCCAAAAGCAAGAAGTAGGTTTCGTTCAGCTTGAAGTACACACAGCCCAGTGCTGGATCTGGGAGGTGCTGCAGGCTCTCAGGAATTTTAATGAATGACCAACTGGTTGTGTAAATAAATGACTGTGAATAAAGGAAATGTGACAACAGTCTGTCCACTCCATTGAAAGGAACACCTCAGGAGGCCGTGCTGAGGACTCCTCCTCTGCCAGGAGCCCTGTTCATTGAGACACCTTAAAATAGCCTCAAACTATATTAAGCACAAGTTGGCCGAATCATTGAATGAAACTGGCACATGAAAAGTGCCTGAAGAGTTTGTGCAGTTACAGGTCACACATAACGACCTTTTGTCTAACGATGGGCCTGTGTACAGCCTGGGTGTGAGTAGGCTGTGCCACCTGGCTCGTGATAGCACAGCCATGAGATTGCTTAGTGACATTTCTCAGGATGTGTCCCCTAAACATGCCCGTATTTGGGAGCCCCCATGATGATGACATCCAGGAGAAGGTGGGACTGGTGCTTCCAGGCCTGGCAGAGTGCAGGCCCTGGGCAGAGCAAAGGGAACTTCAAGTTGATTGGAGTGGTGCCACCACAAGCCATATTCACTGGGAATGGGAAGAGGCAGAAGGGTTTTCCACGAAAACTTCAGGAGGAAGTTAGGACTTGGTATCTGGAACCGTGAGAAGATATTTATTGTTTTCAGCACCAAGTGGTTCGTAGTTTGTTCCAACATCCCTACTTGGCCACTGAGTTTGAATGGGAAGGGGTTAAGCTTAAGGAAGCAAATCCCTTGACATAAGATGGAGGAATCCTAGTAATGGCAGATTGGAGTTGACAGCAAAGCCTTTCCCCCAGGCGAGAGCATCAGTGGGCGCCTGCCCACAAAAATGTGCCAAATGTTGCAGAATTGATTTCACTATAGCGCCAGGTGGGGGAGCCCTCGAGACACAAGGAAACCACCCAGACCTTCTCCCTGCCCCACTTCTTACTCATATCTACTGCTTATAGTCAAGTCATTGAGGTAAATCTAACTTACTCAAATAAGAGCATTAATAAAACTCCTTATGGGGAGACTGTAAGAAAAGACCAAAAGCAGAGAAATCAAATTAAAATGTTTTAGCAAATAAAACACCAAGAAAAGTCACCACAGGCACAAAAATGCTAATGCAGCCTTCCGACATGAATGAAAATACACGTTCTAGTGCAAGTGTGAGAACACCATGAAATGATGGGAAATTGGGTATCGTTGACTGAGGGATGGGGTGGTGTTGAGATGGGAACCCAGAAACCTATATTCAAGATGCACAACAGGCAAGATACTTATCCTGGAAGAAGTAAAGAAAGGAGAAACCAAATTAAGAGAAAGTTGTTAAGGAAAGATGCAAAGGAAATCTAATCACATTGAATATGGTTGAAGAAAAGTCAGTACGTTGAGTTTTTAAATTGAAGGAGAAAAACAATGGAACAAACTTATTTAAAATGGCGATTCTATAAAAATTACCTTCTCCCAAAAGAAAATGCCCTGAAAGTAAAAACTGTAAAGGCATACTGCATGCAGAGGGAAATTAGCTTAGAAGTGTCTTAGAATTCTAAGAAAGTCCTAATAATTATGTCAACTCTAGGAAACATCCTAATAAAAAAGAATTTCTGAGCCTCCAGCAAAAAGACAAAATGACTTACTTAATAATGAAAAATAGATGATACCAAAATTTTTAAAAAAGATTTATTGATTTATGCATGCAAGAGCTGGGGTACAGGCCAGAGATGTGGGGGGTGAGAGGATTCACCAGAGACAGAGTGGGGAACAGAACAGGCAGACCAACCGAAATACACTGCTGAGGGGAGCAGTGGGCGCGGCAGGAGAGGTCTGCCTTGCCATGTGGGTAGCTCCCTGGCCTGCTGGGGATCGAAGTCGTGCTACAGAGGCTTCAAATTGCTTCATAGTGCGGTGCTTAACCCCTTGCGCCACCAGGGAGGCCCAAGATGATACCAAATTTTAACATTGATACCTACTAGAAAGTTGATGAGAGATTGAATAATTAGAAAACAAAAAAGGTAAACATTAACAAAAACAGTTTAAAAGCTGCTAGAAAACTTACTAGAAAAAGACCAACAAAAATTTAAAACTACCTAGAAAGAATAGAGAAAGCACAGGTATGGAACAGTAAGAAAATGATCAAAATAGCATAAATATACAAAACTTCCAAAACAAGAAAAATCGTAACTTTTTTGTAGAACTCTTTGAAAATACACTGGAAAATCTTGATGAAATACAGTCATCAATTGCTTCAGAAAATGTAATTTACCAAAACTGGCCCTGATAGTCTAAATAGACCCATTTCCATAGCTGAGTTAAAGAAATTGTCACTGAATTGCCTCAAGTTCCAGGTTCAGTTGAATTCACAAAATTCTATTAGTCTTTACAGACCAGACACTGCCAATGTTCCTTAAGCCTTTTCAAAGCATAGAAGACAAATCACCTAAATTACTTGTAAGCATAATATTGTTATCAAAATCTGACAGCAAACAATAGACCAGTCTGAAGAATAGCAACCACAACAACAAAACCCACAAAAAAAAAAGCTCCACAACAGCTCAAGTAAGATCTTTATGAACAGAATCCACCAGCACAAAAAACGAAAGTACGCAAATGTATCCATCCAACATCAAAATTTCAGAGGCTTTACACAAGGTTTACGTCTGGGGCTATGTGTCCGATAAATGTCAGGATGTGGGTGTAGCTGCGGGTGCATCATTCCACGTGGTCGCTCCACACCATCCTCTGGTCCTGCCATCTTAACACAAAGTCTGGAAGAAACATGGAAAGTCAAGCCCAGGCTCCAGCAGCTTCCATCCAGGGCTTGAATCACCCCTACTCAGATGGCCTTGGCATTATCTTGTGTGACCTCCTAGTATTGCATTTTACCTCCTCATTGGGGAGCAGCTCCGTCTGTGGTATTTTGTGGGGTTGCTGTAGGGGTTACTTGATGCACCTTTCACCTACCACAGTGCCATGAGTGATTTCTCTCACATACATGCCACGTGAGGACGTTACCACAAATAACTCAATTTCCCCTCTTGGATCCTTTGTTGGTGTCCTATGTTTTACTCTGAGCGGTGTTATAAATCTCACAATGCATTGTTAATATTTCTTATCTAGTCCATAATTTGGAGAAATCTAAAAAGGACCTTTTATCTACACATCCACTCTTGGGTACAGGAAAGTGGGGGGTGGAAGAAGGACATTTCCTTGGCTCCGGTCTCAGCTTGGATATTCTTCTCAGGAATGCTTCATAGGATGTGGGAGGAGTCTCCCCTTGTGGCTGGCGCCTGCTAGACAGCTTTTTGGAAATGTTCCGGGTGGGGGGGGGGGGAAATGCTGTGGGATTCTCCTGGCAGCCAGTCGTCAGCCTGGACAACGAGAGTTGAGAGTTGGGACGTGCCAGCTGCTTGGCCCTTTCCAGCCTGAGTAATGTTTTCACACACCTGGCAGAGGCAGGCTGTCGCTTGCTGGGCAAACACCCAGGAATTGCCTGGGGACAAGGTTGATGGGCATCCCCCCACCTGGACGAACATCTGGAAACTCTATCTTTAGTTGTAGGGGGAGGAGCTTTTCCTGCTGATCATTCCCCAGCATGGGGCACTTCGGGAAAAATCTGGTCTGGTTTTCGTCATATGTATTAAATCCGTAAGGCCTCCCATTTGGACCAGCAGTATCCACATCCTGTGCTCACTGTTACTATGAAAGGGCATTCCGAGAGTGTGAGCTAAGTCCTTTTGTCCTCTGTCAACCTTTGTCAGTCATTCCTTTAGCTACGTGAGAAGGTACACCCAAATGCTAAAAATATTCTAGCAAGCTTGAATAAAATTGACCAGAATATTGACAAAGCCTCCAAGGAGGAGGGATGATCTACCCTCTTTTTTCTTGACAGCTTTCCCCACACTCTAGGTCCGACAATAGCAAAGTTCCTACAAGGTTGTTGAGCTACACTGAGAAGTACCCAGCACACCCAGTCAATCCCAGTGTCCCTCCTGTGTGTGGCAAACTCTGGGCGATGCAACAGGGTGAGTGAACAGGCCCTTTGGTGCCACCTAGTGGCTCTCTGGAAAGCACCGAGGATGGTAGAGATGGATGCAAAGGCCAGCGTTTCTGAATACAGGGCTGATTTTGGAGCAGGGCCAAATTTAGGTTCTGCCAGCAGAGCCTGGTTGGATGACAAAGGACAGGTGTAGGTTGGGCAGCCCGGTTTGGCTCCTTGTGAATTCTGGAAACAATCTCAAAACTTCCAATTGCCATTTTCTCTGTTGTTAGAATAAAAGCCTTCCAAAATTTAATATCTTAATAAAAAAATCTTTAGCAAATTGGTAGCCTTAATTATATGTTTCCCTGGTGGTAATGCTTCCTTTGATATCTCTTTTTAAAAATGAAGGTAGGATGATGAACCAGAGACACTTTTTGGGGGGTGGGGGGCGGAAGGGGAGGGATTGGGGTCAAAATGGGGGGTTGCAATTGTATGGGAAATATAAAAATAAAATTTATTATTTTAAAAAATAAATATATATATAAGGGAAAAAAAGATTTATAAAAAAAAAAAATGAAGGTAGGATGTAAGTTATCTGAATTAGCCAGAAGAGCTATGTAACAGCTTCTTCTCTCTCCTGTGGCTCTGATTTTAAATTAACAGTACATATTCTCCATATTAGGCTTTGGAATCATGTATCTGTCATACACAATTATGAAACAAACCAGTTTTAAACAAAAACACAATCCTTAAAAATCAAAGTAGAGTGAAACCAATGAACATAATTATATACTGAATTTGTAGCTTACTCACACAGAGAACACTTATTTTTAAGTCTTTAATTAGGGGACCTTAATTGGATAACTTTAAGTGACCTTTTTCTCTGGTGGGAAAAGAATGGTAGTTTTTAGAGGGGTATAGTGTAAGAACAGAGAAGAACTATAAAGAAATATTACTGTTTTCAGTAATGTTGTCAGAAACATTGGTATGATCATTATGAAGATATATACACATATTTGCAAATAATTATGTTAATGTCAGGAATGAATATTTTCAGTTTAAGATACAAGATGTAAAAATATAAAATGAAATATTAAATGAAAATTCTAAAATTTTGAATTTGAATGGCAGATATCAGTATGATGGATTTCATCTCTAAAAGCATTAATTTCTTAGCTGCAATGTGGTTTACATATAATGGGTAGCCCATGATCAAGGAGTATCTAGTGCCCC